TCAGCAGCTGAGGGCCTCCTGGCCGCCCTGCTCTCCTCACCAGCCCCCTTCAGGGCCCTTTTTATGGGGGTGTGAGCCCCGGCTCTGTGCCGGCAGCTCCCCGCGAGGCTGTGGCTGCTGCAGGGCAGCGATCCTTCTGCGGCACATCCCAGGGGGGCTGCCTCCCCCTGAGGGGGACTGCAGGTAACGGGGCCCGGCCGGGCTCCGCCGCTACCCCCGGCCGCCCTCACGCCCCCCACGTCTCGGAGGGGATCCCACGGGGGGGAGCCGGGGAGCAGCGGGGCGAAGCCGAGCCCCGAGCGGGACCGGGAGCCCCGAGGGGGTCTGAGGGGACCCTGAGGGGTCTCGGGAGGCTCCCCCCGGGCTCAAACAGCGCCGGGCGCCGCGCAGGGACTCACCCAGGTCGTCCATGGTGCCGCCGCCGCTCCCGCCCCGCCGCCGCCGCCCGCTCTCCTCAGCGCCTCGCAACTTTCCCGCCCCGCCCCTGCGCGCCCCCGACGCTGCCTCAGCGCGCGCGCCCGCCGCCGCCCCCTGCCGGCAGGAGCGGGCGCGGCCCCGGCCCCCCTCAGTCCCGCCAGCCCCCTCAGTCCCCTTCAGCCGCCTCAGTCCCCCCTCAGCCCCCCTCAGTCCCCCCTAGCCCCCTCAGCCCCTATCAGTCCCCTCAGTCCCCTCAGCCCCCTCAGTCCCCTTACCCCTCTCAGCCCCTCTCAGTCCCCTGGGTCCCCCTCAGTCCCCCCTAACCCTCCTTAGTCCCCCTCAGCCTCCCTCAGTCCCCTCAGCCCCTCAGCTCCCTCAGTCCCCCTCAGACCCCCTCAGCCCCTCTCAGTTCCCCTCAGTTCCCCTCAGTCCCCCCTAACCCTCCTCAGTCCCCCTCACTCTCCTCAGTCCCCCCTCAGCCCCCGTCAGCCCCCCTCAGTCCCCCTCAGCCTCCCGGTTCTCGTTACCGCTGTGGGAGCTGTGGTGAGGGGCCTGAGTGCAGCCCCGCTGCCTGTAGGTGACAGCAGCCCCCAGGGACTCATGCCAAGCCTCACCCCGCACCCAGCACCCCTCAGGAAGCCATGGCCCCGCACAGCTGGGGGACACCGCAAGCAGGAGTAGAAGCTGGCACCCTGTGTGTCACCCCAACACCAGGACCTTGCCTGACACCTCCTCACGGGGCCCTGGGCAAGGTTTAAGGCGCAATGCGGAGGGATTTGTGTGTTTTGTGTACATAAATGTGCTTCCCACACTATGTGAGAGGGGTTGTGCTCAGCATCTGTCGCTGCTTTTCCACGACTGAGCAGCAATAGCTGCAGGATGTGTCCCCTCAGGTGGGGTGATGTGCACCACCGGCATTATTTGCTGGTACAGAACAGGGGCGGTCAGGATCAGGCCCCCTCCCGCGATCCATGCTTCTTCCAGCAGCAAGTAGCAGGCAGGTCTTGGCTTGGGTTGTACCTCTACCTCTGCATGAATAAAGTTTCCGCTGTGCCCTGTTTGCATTGCAGCCCAGTACGCGATGTTCGTCACCAGCTTCCTACCGGATCCTTTGTGAGTGTGGCAGTGAGTGCAAATCAAAACAACAGCAACAACAAAACCAGCTTTTTTTCTGTCTCAGGGCAAAAATGAACTTCTCATCGGGATGCATGCAGAAGAAACAGGTTGTGTCCAAGCTGCTGAATATAAAGATGAGGAGTCTCTGCCCCTAAAGCTTCACCCTGTGGCTTGAGCACTGCTGTGGAAGGGTGACTGAGGTGGATGGCAGAGCTGTTGTGCAAGGGACGCGACCCTCCACTTGTACAGCTTTTAAACCAAGCCTATTCTCATTGCACTAGTCATAACCAAGTGCTGTTTACACCTGAATTCTTTTTCACACCCTAACATTTCCTACCCAAAATTGGCACCTCCCAACCCTCCTGTGGTTTCCCAGTGAGAAGGGCAGGTTAAAAGCCAAGCTGCTACAACAGCTGCTCAGAGGGGTGGGCTCAAACAAAACCCACCCAATGTTCACCATTCTCCGTCCTTCCTAGTGCCACGTAACTCCTGTTTGCTCCCCATCTACCTGCTCTCTGCCTCTGAAACACTCCTGGACTTGTGAACACCTGCTTGATGCTCAAGCCCCGTGCACGCACAGCTGCAGTTCCCTGGGGACAGCTGCCCCAGCGAGCTCTTCCCCAGCAGAGCAGCAGCCGAGGCTTGCCCAAAGGCAGCTGGTGGGACCGAGGGGGAAGTGATGTGGGAGCAGCTGCAGCCCTCAGAGCTGCTGCTGCTGGGGAATGAAGGCACGTCATGCATCAGAGTATGCGGTGCTTCCTCTTGCATGCTGCCCCGCGACTACAACACGGTATGACTCAACCCTTATCTTTCACAGAAGTTGTGACAAGAAGTTGTTGTTCTCATTCGCAGATGGGAAACAGGGCTGGCAGCTGGAAATAAAGTCAGACAATGAGTCAACGTGAATTTAAGGCCGGACTTTACAACTTCCTGCCTCCACACAGCCCAGGGTGCTTGCTGACGGAATCTTTCTCCTCGTCAAAGCGTAGCTAACCAGCTATGGACCGGCCCCAGAACTCTTCGGGGGGCTTAACCCACTGGCCTCCACACACTTGCCACTCAGAAACTGGAGGGATTAAATCTCCGCCTGCCCACTTGGGGTCAGTAATCTCAGACTGGAGAAATCCAAGCTCGTTTCCTAGGAGGTGTTATGAAAAGCACCAGGCTAAATCTGTGTCAGAGAAGAACAGATGCGAAGCTACAAGACTTGTAAGGCATGTTTAGAGCCTACCTGTGCACTTCGGAGAGTGACTTGAAACTGCAGAGTGAAGAGAATAACTGAACTGCAGTGCGTCCTCTGCACTGTGCCACAGGGACATCCTGCAAGGGGATGTGGCTCTTTCTTTGGGTGGACACGCAAGGAAAATTTGGGCAGAGCCTCAAGCCTGAAGGTTTCCATCAGCTTAGGGCAACAGCAGCACACTTCAACATCATGCTTGGTGGAAGGACCTAGTACAGCAAACAGAGAAAAGGTGACTTCTAGCACAGGGTGGGGGCCATAGCTTTGTGATACTGGGTGAAGGAACCACTCGGGGGAGATTGTAGCAGATGATTCTGTTAGAAGGAAAGAGAATCATTCAAGGAACAGATATGACACTTATCAACTGACCTTGCTTCAATGAACCAAACAAGTACATGAACTGCATTACTCATTGTCTACTACACATGACTTCAGTGCTTATCCCTGTGCCTCATTCTGAGAAAGGGTGACGGCATCCCGCCGCCTCGGGTTTTGATTTCAAATAGATATTGCCAGTACCGGAGTGCAAACAGGGGACAAACGCCATCGAGGAGGTTTCACTGTCATTCTTCGGTCACCGTTGTGTATAACACCCCAGCCCAGCTGACATTACAAATCTGATAAAGAGGGAATATCAATGTCTGCTATTAATTTCCCTACTCCGCCTCGTTATAAACAACCCCCTAACCTGGGGTCAGCCAGGCAGGGTATGCTCACCTGGATGGCACGTGTGGCTGGACGGAGAGCCTCAGAGCTAACTGGCCGCAGTGTAAACCATATGGGATGTGCACAAAGAGACAGGGAGGCTGCTTCCCACTGTGCAGGAGATACGGCCCAGGATGCTGGCGTGTGGTGGTCACGGGTCTCCTCTGCGGGGCGGGGACTTATTTAACTGATGAGAGAGGGCAGATGTGCATGGGGTCACCCAGAGAGTTTTACACCAAAGCCAGCAGTCTCTTCGTGCAGAGCAGAGGAGCTGGAGCTCTTCAGCAAGGAGAAGCCATTTTCTGAAGCTATGGCTACTGCTACAGAGATCCAGGCACGGGTAACCATTCGGAAGTATTTTAATTTTTCTGTTTTTTCACAGTGAAATTCAGTCTCCGTAGAGACTGTCAAAAATTGCCAATGCCGACTATATTTCAAGTCGTCATGGCGGGGTATTGGGAAAAGTTTTCAATTAGCAATAATCGCGCCTCGGATTAACCTCATTGGCTACGATACTGCCACTGCGCAAAGCTGACGGAATGAGCCCTCCGCCGCCACCCCTCGCCCCGGGGCCGCCTCCGAGCTCACGGCGAGCCCCCACCGCCGCTCCCACTGCCCGTCACGGTGCCCCCCGCCTTCCCCAACATCCCCTGGTGCCCCTCAGTCCCGTTCCGGGTGGGGGGCGCCCCGTTATCACCCCCGTACCGAGCGGCGGGGCGGCCGCTGGGGTTGCTGGGAAGCGGCATGCAAATTGTGTGACGTCACTTGGCGCGCCCCGCCTTGGCGCGGGATTCCCACGCCCCTCGCGGGTGGAGGCAGGGAACGGAGGCTGAATGGGAACGGGGGGGGGAATGGGATGGAGGCTGAATGGGACGGAGGCTGAGCGGGGACGGAGGCTGAACGGCGATGGAGGCAGAGAGAGGCTGGAGGCTGAATGAGGATAGAAGCTGCACGAATATAGAGGCTGAGTGCTGATGAATAGGGATGGAGGTTACAGCCTCCCCCTACTTTTTTCCTTTCTATTTTTTAACCAGCTGACGGCAGCCTCCGGAGAGGCTCTCAAAAATTGCCAATGCCGACTGTATTTCAAGTCGTCATGGCGGGGTATTGGGAAAAGTTTTCAATCAGCAATAATCGCGCCTCGGATTAACCTCATTGGCTACGATACTGCCACTGCGCAAAGCTGCCGGCCTCTCCTCCCCGCAGCCTCCACCCCGCCGCCGCCCCCCCGCCCAGCTCAGAGCGCGCTCCCGCCACCCCCCGCGCGCCCCCGGCCTGCGCGCCCCCTGCCCCGCCGTGCCCGCGACCCCGGCCCCCGCTTTGGGGAACGGGAGAGGCAGGGGGCAGGGGGGAGGCTGCGGGGCAAGGGAGGCCCGCGGAGGGTGCTGGGAGGGCGGTATGGTAATGAGGGGGGGGCCTCGCCCCTTTCCTGGGCAAAAATGGAGAAAATCGGCCGGGTTTTGCCCAAAACCACCAGTTTCCCCTCAAGGGGAGGCGCTTTGCAGAGGACAACACATGAGACCGAGTGTGCTGTTACCCAACGCGTTCAGTGCCCGGTGCAGTGCTGAGGACCCGGGGGGCTCCGTGCCACTCATGTCACCGCTCCCGGTGTCACCTTGGCTCCGCGGGCCAGCAGCAGCCTGCCCAGGCATGGCACAGGGGCTGGCCGAACCTAATGCCAACGAAAAAACTGCACAACCATCACACGGAGTAAGCCCCTCGGTGGTGGAGAGTTGACTGGTGAAAGGGTCCAGGGCTCGGGCTGTGCCCTGGGAGAGGTGCAAGTGGCTGAAAAACTCCAACCACCCCTCACGTCTCATCCACGCCTCCTTCAGGAGCCGTTCAGAGAGTGGTTGTTGCGTGCTGACCTCTGGGGTTTGGTCTGGCCACATTAATCCCACACACTGGACCCGACTGCTGTTATCTGCCCACCCTTGGTGCCGTGGTTTGTTTCTGTATCTTTCACCCACCCTTTTTCCTGTTGTTCCAACTATACCCACCAGGACCCCCAGCCTGGCTCAACCTCGGCCAGCATCGAGTGGAGGCACCAAGGGCACGAGGATGGGGCCGACCTACTGTCCCTGTGTCCCTTCGCTCTCCAACCAGGCACATGTCCCCAGCGAGGTGTCCTTAACCACCCCCAGTGGATTTTCCTTCCATTATTTGCTCAGCCACATTCTGAGGCTAACACCTGCCACGTTAGCAGCAGCGAAAGGAAAACGCAGGCTTCCGTAAGAACACGGACCTACAAAACCTTATTTACTACTTACATCCATCCCAAACCTGATTTTATTCTGTGCTTCCTGAGGGCAGCACGCAGTGTTTGCCAAGGCACACCTTTCAGGAAGGGGGGCGATTATTTTTTTTCCTTGAAGCCTGGGAGTTGTAGTGTTTGCTCGGGCTCGGTGCAAACTACATTTCCCAGCAAACTCCTTGTCCGCAGGCCTGCAGAGGTCGGTCGGGCAGCGCTATGACAGGTAGGTTTCGGGGCATTACTCACCATAAGGTGCTTCTGGCCCTGGCTGTGCGCACCGTGCCCACCACCCCTCTCCCCCCCGTGTCATTGTTACAGAACAGGCTCGGGTGACGTGGCTCTGGATTTCTGCCCTGTAGCAAGCTGTCTGTCCTCTGCCTGTGCCTGGCTGCTCTCTTCCTGCGGAGCTTTCGGATGTGTGTTAGGAAACAAACCCCAGCCGTGGGCCCTGGTAGGTAGCTTTACGGAGCTTTGCGTAAGCGTGGCTGGGTTTTGGCTTGCATTGTTTGTTTTTGTTTTGTTTTGTTTTTTAAATCTGAGCGCTTTGATATTGACAGCAGCCTTACGTTTCACAGGAAGCGTTCAGCCCTTTGCAAGTTTCTCTGTCACTCACTGTCACGCTTCAGAGTCTCCCTCAAACGTACGCGCTGCTGTTCTTGCTGCTGTGCCCACTGCTGCCTTCTCTCTCTCCTGGGGGGTCACCCTGTTTTATGTCTCCATTTCATTCCCCCTCTGAACACTTCCTTCTGAGAGATCTTTTGATGATAATGGGGGGAAATGGAGAATTTTCATCAGTTAAAGCAATTTAATCACCATCAAGCTGGCTTAGCAGCCTGCTGGGACCATCACGACAGGACTTATTCTCAAAGCAAGTTACAGTTTATTGGGAAACTTTGTCCCTCCTAATTAATTAATATGGAAAATTAAACCTGTACCGAAGGAAGGCGCAACACTACTCTTGATAAACAACAAAACAAGGCAAAAATCATCATGAACATAATCCTCTGCTTCGATATAAAAAACAATTTGGGACTATAGTGGAAGGCTTTCCAGAATAAGCCTGCACGATTCAGCCCTGATATCAGTCAGCCCTGAAAAACACTGGCATGGCCACTGTGTCTGTACATTGGTGATTTCAGTCTAATTTACTAGGGTATGGTGCCATGGCCCTGAATCCAGGTAGCTCTCCCTGTAATTCAACTGATAATGAAGTGCTGGAGGTTAATTGAGACAAACCTACTCTTTGCCACTAGCATCTATTTAGTATCAAAATACAGCTGAACATGCAGACTTCCAGTGTATTCAGATATTGCTCTACTCACTGTAAGAATTGGTATTTGAGGGAGACCAGGGACTTGAGGCAAAGCAACTCAGACACAGCAGGAGTCTAAAAACCAGCCAGGCTCCGAAGCTCAAGAAGGAGCGAGCTGCCTGCCTAGCAGACAAACATGCTCACTACTTGAAGAGCTTTCTCAGAGCTGCCACAGGTCTCAGGCACGTTTCCAGCAGACAGCCTTTAAGGAACTGTCCCCACGCTGCAACAGCTCAGCTGTGAGGTGCTTGGTGCCCTCCTCAAACTGCCTTTAACACCCTCACACCTTCAGCACCCCTCTGCTACCCTCTGTGAATGGGACGTGGAAACACTGTCCTCACACAGCAGGACTTAACAGTTGCAAAGTAATTCTGATTTGGATAGAAAAAGGAGCAAAGAAAATTTATCAGCAATGTTTTCCAGAGAATCCCAAGAACATACAATCAGGGATATGCTCTCTGCTTCTTTTTTTTTTTTTTACCTGCCCTGTGTTCTGTTCTTGGCCTTTAGCTCAGCATGTTCTCTGCCAGGAGGTTGCCAGGGAGTTGCAGAGCCACCCGACTCCATCACCTCAGACACCACTCCGTGTCCAGGCCCTCTCCAAACTTAGCTTTCGTGCCAGCCTGTCTTCCCCCGGATCCTGTGGAAGTAGAGGAGCTGCAGCGTTTTGTTTCTAACTCCAAGAAGCTCTTTGTAATGACCGGGGCTGGAATCTCGACTGAATCGGGGATCCCAGATTACCGCTCTGAAGGAGTCGGGCTCTACGCCAGGACCGACAGGCGGCCCATCCAGCACGCAGAGTTTGTTCGTAGCGCCAGCGCCCGGCAGCGGTACTGGGCAAGGAACTTCGTGGGCTGGCCCCAGTTCTCCTCCCACCAGCCCAACACGGCGCACCTGGTGCTGAGAGACTGGGAGAAACTGGGAAAGCTCCACTGGCTGGTGACCCAGAACGTGGACGCCCTTCACACCAAAGCTGGGAGCCAGCGCCTGACAGAACTGCACGGCTGCACACACAGGTACCCCGCAGGGACAGGAGGATGGCTGATGCTCTCGTGTCTCAGTCAGGGTGACCAACGTGTCAGTGCAGTGGTAGCTGCTGAAAAAGGAGGCAAAATGTAAAAGCTCTATGTTAGTGGAGATGGCGTGCTCAAGGGTGGTTTTGTGCTGGGGTGATGAGGATTGTGCACCAGCGCTGCTCACAGAGTGGTGTTTAAGAAACAAACAACTCCCTATTTTTGGAGTTCTGTTTGGGTCGTGCTTAGAACTTATATCAGTCTGAACCTCCCATTTCCTTGCTGCAGTAAATGTCCTCTTAGGGAAGGCAGGGGGATCCTGAGGATGCAAAGAGTGTCCAGGGCTAAGTAGAGAGGGTGGTGCCAGAAATGCACGGGCTGGTCATCTGGAGAGGAGCCATCACAGCCTGCCTGTGGTCACCCAGAACTTCCTGATGAAAAAGCCAAGCCCTAACTGTGAGACGGGATGCACAGGGTTCAAAGTGCTTACCCTGGAGCATCCCTGCAAAGCAACAGCTGGAGGCAGAAAGACAGCTCAGTGACCTGCACTGTCTGTTACATAAATGGGGGCGATGACAACAGACTTTCCAGGCCTTCTAAGGAACAAGTTCCTTAGAGTTTGTTCCTTGTTCTAAGGAATGAGTTCCTTAGAAGCTTCTCTCTCTCTATTATGACTTTGCTCTGCATTTCAGGGTTTTCTGCCTGGGCTGTGGAGATCAAACCTTGCGCTCTGAGCTTCAGGAGCATTTTGAAGCTCTGAACCCTACCTGGAAAGCTGAAGCACTCGGTGTGGCTCCGGATGGGGACGTCTTCCTGACGGATGAGCAGGTGCGCAATTTCCAAGTCCCAGCTTGCAGTAAATGCGGTGGCATCCTGAAGCCCGACGTGACCTTCTTTGGAGACACGGTGAGCCGGGAAAAGGTGGATTTTGTGCACCAACGCCTGGCAGAGTCAGACTCCATGCTGGTGGCAGGATCCTCTATGCAGGTAAGAAGGTCTTCCTCCCACACCGCGTTCCTGTTTCTGTGCTACTCTGCTGGCAACAAGTCCTTGGTCCCCCAAATTAGGGCTGCTGTTTGCAGTCACCACAGCCACTTCAGAGCTTCTTGGTAATTTATTTTTACTGTTGTTGGGATTTAGTTCTACAGTTATCCTGTTTGAGCCTGTAACTCCGCTGCCAGTCTCAGCCATGCTGCTGCAAATAACCCCATTCACACTTCAGACCTCACTCTGCTGCTTCCTCCATCACTGCCTTGTAGGCTCGCGGTTGCCCGTAAAGCCGGGATACCTGACACAATTCAGTTCTGCAAACATCACCACCCCACTTTTTTTTTTTCCATTGAATTTTTTTAGCCTTTTTCCAGCTGTCTAGGCCTCATGGAAAGCTGTGTGCAATACCAGAGTTTAGGACTTCTAATTTCTAATTAAGCTTCTGAAGAAGAGACCAGAACTCTCTGCTTGCTGCTTAGGACTGTCCTTTATATCACACCACATTTTCTCTGTGAACCATATTTTATCTGTAAGATAAGGTGATCTAAAAAACCCTGGTGTTTAACCTGTGAAAGCTTTTGGAGTAGAGTTTGTGTAAGAGATTTTCAAGGAACAGGTTCTATTACATTAAGAAAAACTAAAGCTTTCCAGAAAGGCAGAAAATGAAGGCTTGGCTGATTGCAATTCACTTCAGGATACTGGAGAGAAATTCCTTGAGCTTGCACTTCTTAAGCACATAATCCTTTGCACAGGAATGATTGAAATGCCTTACGCTCATTCTTGTAGTACCTAAACTGGGCCATGTGAGAACCATCAAAGCAGAAGCATTTAAGTACCTATGATAACTAATAAAAACTGCTGCAGAGATTTACTAAAAGACAAGGGCTTTCCCCTTCAATGTATATATTTTCTACAAAAGTGGAAACCCTTCACTGATAAAAAGTCAAAAGCTGTTCTCTTCTGTGCACTCATGAGTGGAGAAACCTCCTACTTGAATTAAGTGCAGTTGCATAACACAGAGTGTACATACAGCCCCGTTTTCCTGCCAACAGCAATTACTTTACTTTCTTTAGACCTATCTGTAGCTCTCCTTTGCCTGTGCTGCCAATAATTCTCTCTGCTGGTATTCCTGCAGGTATACTCTGGTTACAGGTTTGCTCTTGCTGCTCGGGAGAAGCAGCTGCCCATTGCAATCCTTAACATCGGGCCCACAAGGTTAGACCACTTTGCATCCTTAAAACTGAATTCCCGCTGTGGAGAGCTGCTGCCTCTGATTGTTGCACACTGACCCAGCAAACTGAACATCAGCAGCTATCAGGAGTAAGAATATTTCTCCAAGGTGAGTGCCTTCCCTGGTCAGTCGCCTTAAAGTGTAAGAAGATGGGTTTAGGTATCCATTAAAATCTGTGACTGAGATGTACTGACTAAAAAGATGTTCCCACAATGCTCCCATCAAAAATACATCCCCATCAAAGCCTGGCTGCAAATTTTCATCTGTACCTGGTATGCTCTGATGGGCCATTATACTGCTTCCCGTGATCATAAACAGAAAGCATACTCAGTGCAAATGCTCCCGGAAAATTAGGCAAAGGAGACCAGAAAACCTAGCAATGTTGACCTCCAATCCAGTTGTCACAAACAGAAAACTACAGGGGATCGGGGGCATCTGCGGATTCAGAGAATGTGATCAGTGCTGCTACCTTTGCACTCATTTTTCTTTGTAACAAAACAATTCATGAAAGTTTCTCAAATCACCATACTCCTACTGACAATTCAAAAGCTATGTCTGGTTGAATTGATCCAGCTGATCAAAACACTGCTATTTTGAAATGAGAATAACGAAAATGGTCAATTCCATCGATAAAGCAACTTCTTACCTCCCTTCCTACAGGACTTACCATCTCAAAAGTGGAGAAACTTCAATGTCAGGGGTATCTGTGAGATCCTTACGTGTGGCCCCTGATGACACCAGGAGAGGGCAGCAAGCCTCGCGCATGTCGACCTGACCGGTTTGTTTTCTGCATTGACACCCGCTCCACTTAACCAGGAAGGAGAATGATGATGAAAAAATGTCTTTTCTGCCTTACTTTGTCGTTGTAAACAGTGCCTTCTCTTTGCACTCACTGGGGCAGGATAATCAGACATGTGAGAACATAACACTTTTTTTTTTTTTTAATAGTTGTCCCAGGAGAAGAGTGAGGGGCAGGGAGTTTGACCAAGTAACTTGAGGTAGAATAGTAGAGGAGAGCAATGTGGAACACCACAGTATCAGCTGGAGGATCCGTTGCTATTAGTGGGCAAACGTGGGGCGTGCTAAAGAGGGTAAGGACGCAAGGGATTTGCTGTTGCATTTTAAAAAAAGTGGCTAAGAAGAGAAGCTGAACAAGAATACTGCTCTTGTAAGAAACGATTTGAAAGCACAGACTACAAGGTTGACATCTTTGAGCAAAAAGGGGAAGTCAGCACTTCTCTCAACTGTCAGCTGACCAGTTGAACTACTTACTGTCCGAATGCTTTAAAAATGGAATATTGTTGAGATGCCAGAGGATTTACTTTAAGCTAATATCTGACCAGAGCTGCTTTCAGTATGGCTGCTACCTTTTCTAGAATGCATTTTTTAGAGATGTTATTTAATTAATGAATAACTAAGTAGTGAATTAAAATTGTTTACATGACTGATACTATTTGCATTGCAATTTCCTCTCCCTCCTGTGATTTATTTAAGTACAGTCTCAATAGCCAGTTTAGATTCATTTTTTCCATTGCAAAAATGCAGGATGTAATTACTAACAGTTGATGAATTGAGAGAGAGAGATGCAATTAAATCTGCACAATAGGTTTCCCTCAGGACTGAGCTCAAGCTATTCACAGATGTGATTTTGCACACTCCTAACAGATCTGTCACTACTGGGTAGCCATGTTTTGGTAATCCTTAGGGTGGTAGCTTAACATATATTATAACATATGTGGGGAATCTTGCCCAGACTGGAACATCACATTTTTCACCCAACCTTCCATATGAATCTACCACTCCCCTCATGGCTATGAGGGAGTGTAATTGCTGTTCCAAACACCCCAAACCTACTCCTCACATCACATGTCCTATACTAACGATTTTGACAAGAACTTTTTTGGAAGAAAGAGTGCCAGAGTCATTTACTAAAAGGGCAATACCAAAGCAAGGAGATCTGGCCACAGGATGAAAAATTCTTGGTTTTGTTGTTGCCATTTTCAGGAGCAAGTAAAATACAGAATCAAAGGGATACTCGAGGACCCAATTCTGCAGAAGGTGGAGGAAATTAGATACTTAACATGGTTCAAGACTTAGCTATAATGGGTCTTAGGAGACGCTGCTTCACTTCAATGCCATGTGAGGTAAGTTCAGGACCCCTACCTGCATTCTGCTCCCTTTTAATGGTGATCCTACTTGCCGGTGATTTAGAAATCTGCTGTTTGGTAGTGAAGAAAGCTCATAGATGTCAGTCATCTTTTACATAGTACAGCTGTTCTGCTAATCAAAGCTTTTGCAGAAACCATAGCTAAGGCATAGCAGAGCCTCCACACGCAACCAGGACACTTGCACAGCGTTTACTCGTTTAGGTTTTTCATACTAGAAGAGACATTTATGCCTCTTTAGCAGAGGAACTGGGGCCAGGTTTTTCATCATCCATGTCATCTTCAGCACCACCTTGAAATGTGGAAGTTATAGTTGTGTTAAAAACGGAGGCTGCCGGTTTGGTGCTATTAGAGCCAGCATTTTGAGGAGGAGGCGTGGGAGCACTGCCAGGAAGTCTGAAAGAAGAAAACGTCTGCAGTGAAGACTGGGCATTACCAATGTGACAGGTGACTAAACCTGCTACGCCCATTCCTGCCTCCAATTCAGCAGCTGAGCACATGGGAGTCAGGGCGTCTCTTCAGCATCACTGATAAAAGCATCGCTACCCTGACCCTACACGAATTACCCTGTATATTGCACTATATGCTTTTAAGTCACTAGGGACAGTGACTTACAGTAAATGATAAACATTTACAGTAAATTTCCCGTGCATGGTTTATTACTATATAGTAGTGAGCACATATATATAACAAGCATATGAGGCTGAGACAAAGTTGTTCCTTTTTTTCTACCCAGCTGATCCAGCACTACTAAAATTGACTACTTCTACAGCAGGATCAGAACACTTAATCTCCTAATGTGTTCCCCCACCACCACTGGGAAATAAGATTGCTCAACTGAGAAATGCCACAGCAAGCCTAAAGTTCCAAACCAAAAGCCAATTCTGCACCACTCTAACACTGATTGACACCTTCCCCTGTCACTCCTTTGGCACTCTGTGTGTAGGAAGAAGCAAGGCAGAGAGATAACGGCTATCAGAAGCTGACTATGCCATTTCAGGTAGCTAGCAAAGACCTGTCTTGAGAAATCTCTCAGCTTCTCAAGTTTCCAGCCTGGATATAGTTATAGAAATCCCCAGGGTTGAGCAGTATAGGACACAAATCAACCACCGGCTGAAACTAACAGAATAAGAGTGTTACAGAGCCTGAGGAATGATCTCTTTCCCTATTACCATGGGGAAACACAGATCCTTCCTAGCTACCTTGTCTGGTTTAAGCCAGCCTTGATCATCCCCTGCGTGATTCAGTGCTCTCCTACCTTTTCTGGTTCACTGTTGCTATGCCATTCCACCAGAATTTCAGATCAGGGCTTGAAACTGTAGTTCTGTCCACCTGTGGTTGGTAAAAGCACACATTAGACAACAGCACAAGGACAGTTTTGTGTGTTTTTTTGTTTTGTTTTTTTTTTTTTTTTTCCAATGAACTTAGCTGAATCAACAACTCGTACTCTTTCTTACAGCTGTTCCTAACACAACAGGTTCCTGAGGTTTGGCTAGAGGAGCTGTGAGTGCCTTACAATGGATGCTTCTGCCCTTCCTATGAAAGGGGGGCTGGAGTTACCCAGAGCAAACAAAAGCTACTTCATATTTGGCAAGCCTTGCCTTCAGTTCTGGGCAAACCCTCAGAGCAAACTTTGTAATAGAGTTCTGCAGGATGAGAGTTGTCTCACAAACTGCACTCTGGTGAAGGAGCAGCACCCAGGAGACAGCCTGGAGGAGTGTGCCTGATGGGAATGGTGTAAGCACAGCCTCCCACCTCCTACAGTCAGAGTGCTCCTACTGACAAACCTGCTGATTCGTGAGTTTTGGAAAAGGACCAAAGACCCTGGGCATTGTGATCTTGGGAGGTTCAGGAGCCTTGGAGCGCAAGGGGCTAAATCCACCACCTAGAGTGTGCATCTTTCCCCACTGAGTGCCTTGTATGTCGTCCTTTCCTAGTCTTTGCACCTGTGTGGAGAAAAAAAATATTTCAAATCAGTACCAAGTTACTGGTTTCCTCAGTCTATTCATTCAAAACCCAGTGCTTGGGCAGGACAGATGGAGTTTTCCTCTCACATAACCTGTCCTAGGGCAGCCCCAGGTAAATAGCAACTGAAAGCAACCATCCTGGGAGGCTTTCTGGTGCCTATGGGAAAGGAAAACACCTGAGGTTAGTGTTTCTTGTCATGACACCCTGCACAGTGCAGGGGTTTTGAGATCTAAATTAACTTAGCCTTAACAGCTGTGGTTTTAGATTACATAAAATATAATTGTAGCAAGAGAATAAATTTACAATAGAGGACTTTGCTTCTCCAGTCCTACTGGTCTGGCCATTTTCATCACTGATATATATTCACATATAATACATGTGAAAAAGCCTTTCAGATGCCAGATTTCTCCTGGCTGATGCTTTCTTTCTGAAAAGGTCCGGAATTTCTGATATGTGGGCTGTTAAATAGCTTTAATCTTTCTGGTTAAAGTTAAAAAAAAAAATCTGGATGATGTTTTGGGCATAATAACACAAAGAAGCCCATTAGTCCTTCTCCTCCTATCATATTGCTTCTGTGAGATTTTAAGTGGAAGAGTCCCCAGTGGGAGCTGCACAGCTGAGTGGTCTGTCACCTGTGCACCCAAGTCCTGGTAGATACAGGACGCAGATGGACAATAAGAAATTCATACCTGCTCACACTGACAATTGGCCAGGCAGGTAACAATAAGGCTAAAAATAAAAGAGGAGGATTATAAAAAGCATTTTGTGTTAAAAGGTCTCACAGTGTACAGCACGGCTCCTGCAAACTAGAGGCAAGCAGCTTTGAATGAATGACCCAAGCGAGCTGCTAGCCCTTGCCAAGACCCTGACAACATATGCAGCTTCAGCACATGCAAATCAGAAACAGTGCATTTTTGCTAATATGAGAGCTCTTCTGGGACATTCTGCTGCTCCTTTATCAGAAGAATCTTCCAAGAAAAAAAAAAAAAGGTATAAAAAGACAGACACATGCTGCATCCAAATGTCCAGCGTGGTCCTTGGCAAGGGCTAAGGAGAAGAAATCCAACTGGACTTTGTAATTGTAAAAACCTACAACAACTCAGAGTTCACAGTCTGACACAAACCACTGCTGGTGGGAAGCGATGCTTGGTTCCTTAATCAAGCAGGTGGCATCTGACAAAAATCAGATTACAACCCTCCCGTTTAGCACTTGGCAAGACAGAGCTTGCTGGGTGTAATGAGGGACTCCTGTGTCTGTGCACAGAACTGGCTGTGGCTGCAGCAAGGCTCCTCGGCTGCCTGTGCAATTACTGCTTCTGCAATAAAGCAGCTGTACCTGCAGGTAAGGAAAGCCAGAGATTACGGCTGCCTTCTCACTAAGATGAGTCCCTTTGTTGTTTGGGGAAAACAGCACTGGAGCTGAGACAAGAAGCAAATGCTTTTTGATGTGTTTTCACAGCTTAGCATGAAGGGGAATAATAACCTCCATTTACTGAGCTGCACACAGCCAAATGGGTTGAAGACAGTTCCTAAAGCTCTGCCAGATTTATGGTGATTGGACCTTTCAGTCAGAGGGAAACTTGGAGCTGTGAATAGCTGATCAAAGAGGAAAGCTTGTTTTAAAGGGGGTGATGAAACATGGAGCTTGCAGCTCATAAGAACCACCCAAAAAAAAAAAAAAAAAAAAACAGGAAATAAGTTTCAGTTATGCCCTGCAAAATGGAAGATAAATCAGGTGTCTTGACAAGCAAGTGAATATATGCCTCTCCTACAGAAACTTGCAGCAAATGACTTCAGTTTGGGTGCTGATAGAAAAGGGGCATCCATCGATACTGTATCCAGCTGCAAAACAGCAGATCTGGGGTAGTAGAAAGACCACAGAGACACCTTTCTGGTGTCTCTGAATAATTCATGAGAACTTTTCATGAATTCATAAGAAAATTCATGAATGAATGAGATAGTAGATTAGTATCACTATTCTCTGAGATCTTTCCTGAATGACCAGAAACAAAACTGCGACAGAAAGGTGAAAAGCAGAGTCAAGCTAGCCAGGGTTTAAAACCAGTGCTCCAGACACAGATGATACCTGCAAGTCTGTGTGCAGACCCCAGTTCTCTCCCTTCCCACTACGGAAAGATACCTAATTACCACATCTGTGCTTTTCCTTCTGCATCACTAAGTATACAGTGGCAGGTAAGAAGAAAAGCTGAGCCTGAGAGGAAGAGTAACAGTGCAAGTGTCTAGTATTGGTCTCCAGACACAAATGGAAACTGAAGCAGTCATTACCCTGAGCATAGTTGTTTACTCTCTTCATGTCTCGTCTCAGCTGGCATACTTTCTCTCTCATCTCTGCAATGTCCATGTAGTTAGAGTAATTCAATTCTCCCTGCAGAGTCCAAAAAATCTTGGCCTAGAAAACAACAATAGAGAAGACAAAGATAAGACACTGAGAGTTCACTTCTGCACCATAAACCCACACAGGCACCATCCCTCCAGCATATCACATGCCAGCTCTGTAGAGCTTCAGAGCTTCCATGCACAGCAAGCACAGGAATATTTTATTTCAGTTTCTGCTTGTGCTCCTGGAACAGAAGCACAGACTGGCATGGCAAAAGATGTTCATATATTCTTTGTTTTCCCCATCAACTGGCAATAAGTCAGTCTGAGCAACCCCTGGCCTGCTGTTACTCTGCTTTCCACAGTGTTCCTCCAAGCCCTAAAGAGTAACTTTGCACAGCCCTCTCCAAGCCCCGCCATCACTTCTGCCATTGCCTAGGGCCTGGCACTTCACGCTATGTGACAAGATCCCCTATACAAGGGCTTGCCTGGGGGGCTGTTAAATCTGCCGTTAGACCTTCTGCACCACCAAAAGTGCGTAAATAAGAAACATGACCAAGGGTCCAAACGTAAGCGTAGGCTGACAGAAATGTGTATGGGGTAAGAGAGACATGGAATGATTTGGCACTCCCATCTATCCACTGAAAGTATCTAGGGAACGCTAGAATGGCCCAGCAGCAGATGTACTACCCACCTCAAACCTTGAGTTACTACTACAGGGAAAGACTTATACTAAGTTTCTGAAATGCTTCTGACTGCAGCTCAGCTCTCTTCCCAGCTCGGGATGGTACAGCTCAAAAGCACAGCTCTTTACATAGCGATAGTATTTTACTTTTGCCTCTACAATGGGTTTTATTTATCCCTACAAAGGGATTTCAGTTACGCTTAGAACCTTTACAAACAATGAGCTCAGAATCAAAACTAGCAGTGTGAGGACAACAGACCTTATCTTGCACTTCCAGCCCTAGAAATGATTCATCCTAGCAGTACGATGGAAACACATCCACCAGCCTCCAGATTTCCACAGAAGACCCCAGAGAGCTCAATGTTTCCAGAAAACCCATGAACCTGAACACCTGAAGAAAACCAGGATATGAGTATTGGCACAACACGGCCTATCTGGCTATGAGACTTGCACACTCAATTTTTATTTTATTAAAAAAAGAAGTGATTCACCCTCCTATCCCATTATCATCCTGATAGCCTCCTACGAGGAGGCCGCAAGTACCTTTATGTAGGAGAACAAGCCAGCTTCTTCCTTCTCCACCTGTTTCTGCTTCCTCAAAGCCCTCTCACAGACCCGCGGGTTCTGCTCCATGGCCGCGTACAGCTCCTGCAGGCACTGCCGCGTGTAGGACACGGACTGCTCCTCAAAGTCCTCTGGGGAAATCTGCCTGCAGAAGGTGATGCTGAGGGGGTACTCGTTGTCAAACTCGTCCAGGGTCTCCATCCTCTACCTGGGCAGGGAGGACAGGCGGGCTGCACACTCTCCTCATGCTGAGGGACGCAGCTGAGCTGTTTTTGGCTGAGGAGCCAGAGCTCCCTGCCACAACCTGGGGCAGCCCCGGGAGCCCACCCGCCCCCTTCGGCCGCCCTCATCGGCAGCAGCAGCCCCGGGGGCTCCGTCCCGGCACCGTCCCTCAGGGCCGCCCTTTCCCCACAGCTACAGCCCCACGGGCATGGAACGGCCAAACGCTTCGGGCCGTGCCCCGAGGGACGGGAGCCCGGAGGAGCAGCGGCGGGGCTGGGGGCGCCGGGGGGAGCCGCGCCGCCGCCGTTCCCCGCTCGCCCGGGGGCTGGGGGGGCGCCGTGAGGGGACGAGGCGGCACCGGGACTCGAACCCCGGTCCCTGAGGTGCTCCCCGAGGGGCGGGGCGGGGCCGGGGCGGGGCGCACCTGCTCGCAGCCTCCCGCCCGCTCCCTCCCCACCTCCTCCAGGCCCCGCCCCCGCCGCTGCTCGGAGCCAATCAAAGAACGCGGTGACGGGGGAGGCGGGAACACCGCGCGCGCCACAATGACCCGCTCGCGGAGGGGGCGGGGCCTCTCCTTCCCCCTCCCGCCCCCCCCTCCCACCCCGAACCCGGTCGCGCGCGCGGCCGTTAACGGCCGCCGGGGGCGCGCGCGGCGCTGAGGCGCTGAGGCGCGGCGGAGGCGCGGGGGCGGCGTTGCTTTGTGTCAGCCCGGCTTTATTATATATACGCGGCACCCGCTCGCTCGCTGCCAGCCCTCAGGAGGACTTGCAGTACTTGTCCGTGTCCAGCCGGTAGTGGCCCGGGTTGTAGGGCGCCTTGGCGAAGCACATGGCGGCCGTGCGGTCACAGTTGCAGATGAACATCTCGCACTCGTCGTTGGTGCCTGAGGGAGGGAGCGGGGACGGTCAGAGCCTCAGAGCCGCCGCCCGCATCCCCTCAGCCCCCCCATCCCGCCTCACCGCCGCCATGTCGGGCGTGAGGCGCTCCCACAGGAGGTGTGGGGGCTCCTCCGTGTCAGTCCTGCCCTCCCTCAGCTCTGCCTGGCGGCCTGCTGCCTGCTTCTCACCGTGCAGGAGCCATAAAAGCTCGGCCATGGCATTAGAGACACATAACAGAGCTGCACAGCGCTCCCCAGTCATCCCACTGCCCCCACGGCCTCGTGTGGGAGCTCAGGGCCTCATCCCCCTGAGGAGAGGACGGGTCCCCACGTGCACTACCTCACGCCCTGACCCTTTTGGGCCGCCTCGGAGGCAACCACAGCAAGGGCCTTGTGCTGGCCTCCCTGCCACAGAAACACTCGGTTCACACAGCCCCGACCCCAGCTGCAGCCGAAGTGCCGAGCAAAGCAGAGTGAGACGGAGGAGGACGTACTGCTGCACGTGATCTCCTCGCTGGAGCAGCTGAACTTGTACGTCTCTGTGTAGGGGTTGTCCACTAAGAAGGTGCATGCTGACAGCTTCTTTGCCTGAGAGTAGCAGTTATCGTGTGCTTGACAGCACCTGGAAGACAAGGAGGAAGAGGTCAGAAAACGCCAGAAATGCAAGCTCAGCTGACCTGTGAGACATGTAAATATGCTAGTGTTTACAAATACGCTTTGACAAGGCGCTGAACAAAAAAAAACTCAAGATACTCAGTGATAAGAGGGAGAGGACACAAAGGACCTCAAAGGGACACAGAATCACAGAATATCCTGTGCTGGAAGGGACCCACAAGGATCATTGAGTTCAGCTCCTCCTCTGCCAGCTTCTGTTCCAAGTACACGTGTGTTTACAGCAGCCTGGCAGCTGAGAAGCTAACAGCTGGCACAATCCGCTGCACCTTGGCTATCGGTCTAATGTGAGCTCCAAACTGGCAAGCTACTTCTTAGCATTTTGCTGCTTAGCCCTGAGAGGTCGATGGTCAGGCACTGGGTAGTGGGCTCAGAACTGCTGTCTGGGCTGCCAGCACAGCACTGCTGGGAAAACAAAACAAAACAAAACAAAACAAAACAAAACACAAAGGTGCTGGAATGAATGGAACATAGCTGCCACAGAAGGAGAAAGTAGAATGCATTGCTTGGATTATATTTTATCCTAGTAATAAGACATTCAGGTATGATACTACACAACCTTTTTTCCCTGAACCAGTCTTTGGGGGAACACTTTATCCATAGCAGCCAGAGAGTTTTGTGAGCATTTTTTTATATACAGGGCAAGATAAGAAGAAGCAGGCATGCATAAATGAGAAAGTGCAAGCTCGGAAAGATATTTGTAAAAGCAGAGTTGTACAAACTTGTCGAGTTCATCCACTGGTGTTCCACTGCCTCCCAAGCCACAGTAGCAGCCGTAGCCATCATACTGAAGCAGGGGGTGGCTGCCCGGGATGGTGCATTGGATCATGCTGCGCAGCTGCCACACTGCGCGAGGCTGAGACATCAGCGCTGGCAGCACCCACTGAGGAGAAGCACAACGGTTAGAGTTAGGCATGGTATTACCAGTCACGGGCACGCCGAGAGGGATGAGTGCGACCTACGCACCCGACAGCAGGAAAAGCAGGGCAAGGGACTTCATTCTTGCAGATCTTGACAATGGGACTGGTCCTAAAGAAAATGCAGCTCTTTATACTACAAACTCACCTTGAGAACTGATGTCAGCAAGCCAGTATTTGTGTTACTGAATGCAGATTTCTTCCATCAGGGGCTGCAGACGGCAGCTTGTGACATGACCGGGTGAAGGCCAGTGGAGTTCAAACTCTGGAAGCCAGGAGGGTAAATATTTGCTTTCTAGGATTTCTGCAATTAAATTATTTTAATGGTCATATTAGAAGACTGCCTGAAAGAGCTGGACATTTTTAAGGGCTCTCTACTAAAAAAATATAGCAATGTGGAAGTTATGCTGGAAAATACTGGCACTAACAGTTACTAATACTTGTATATTCTTTCTATGCTATCCCACTTATCATTATTCCTATATCTCTGCGTTGATTCACCTGGCCTAATTCAGGGAACGAGATAACACATTGTTCACTTATCCCCATTGACCCTTGGCATGAGCAGAAAAAAAAATAATTAATTAATTTTAAAAAGTCTAGTTTTAACTTTCTCCATATAGGAAAAAGAAGTACTGCTAGGCAAGAACCAGGAGCCAAGCAACGTGGAAATCCTCTGAAATTTCTTAGGAGAAGCAGCAAAGCAAACAACTACAACAAAGGAAAGTGTGAACACAAGGAGATGGTAACACATCGGTGGTGGGATGACTGTAGGAAATATTAACTGAAATATTCAGCAGGATTTTCCCTGAGGCTTCAGAAATGCAGAGGACCAAGAAGAAGAAGGAATGTTGGAGTGCAGGGACAGACATGGTGTTATCTGGTCAAGGTGTGTGTTACCACATCACCAGGTACACGGCAAAACCTAGCAGAGCTGGGTGAAACAGGAGAATGCTCCAGGCAATCATGTTTTGATGGCATACGCTGCCATCAGGCTCCTGAAATCACCATCATGTTTTGTGTGTTTAGACTCACCATCTTCAGAGCAGCTACACTGCAGCCTTTTGGAAACAATGAGCATGCTGGCTGTGCAGTTTCTTCCCGTTATCTATTCTGCTTTCCATCCATCAAAATCTGCCCGATAAATGTAGTCTTCCTTTTAATACATGTACATTGCTTGTCCAGAAGAAACTACCCATTCTTCCTCTGAGATAGAACCTCTGTTCCTCAAGTTAAGCAAAATTAATTTTTATACTAGCTAGTCTGTAGATTTAACTAAGTATATGGGGATAAAATAGTTTCCCTCCAGGTTGTGTGCCTTTGGCCAGCCTTACTCCATTTCACACCCATCGCGAGGTGAATGGTAGCATTGCAAATGGAAATAACTAGTGATTAGCTGGTGATAGCCCGCTGATTTCAGATACAAGCAGGTGGCACAGTACACATTCTCCTGGCAAAGCCAACGTTACCTGGCTTAAACAAGGACTTGTGGCTTACGTGACTTCAGAGGAGTTACGCCAGAAATGACCTGTGCTTAGAAGTTTCAAGGCACACAGTGTTCTGCAGCTCAGAGACAGCAGTTTCTCACCAAAGCAGAGCCCATCTAGGCCCTTTGGTTCTCTGCACCAAGGCACGAGGTGAGTTGGATCCAAAAAAGGGTAAGAAAAGTTTTTGCAGTCAGCCAGGAGTCCAAAATACTGCACTCGTATTCAGACCCCGGAGCCTGTAATGCTGCCAAGGCTACAGGTTTGGCATTTTTACACACTCGAGATATTAATTGTAGGCTATTCCCTTGATAGTAAGAGTCTGCTTTCATTTCTAAAGCATGAATCAAGTTTTAAGAGTAAGGAAAGAGAAAACAGCCTAAAATCCAGAGTGCTTATTCAGGAAATGTAGGGTTCAGCACCCTTCAGTAGGATCAAATGCATGTTTCTGTAAGCGATGGCAAGGACATCTTCCCCTTCAGAGTCCCTGAAACTACATCAGGGTGCCCACAGCACCCAGGGTGCTGACACATCCCTAGGCCATCTAGCTGAAGCTAGGCCTGCTGATGAGTGACCAGAACCATTCTGACTTTTTTGATCTCTCACAAGCTCTCTGATGCCCCAAAATTCCCCACTCACAGGTTAGCTAAGGCCAAACAGGTAGTGGGATATAGACTCAGGATTCCTGTGTCCTAATGATGAGAACATCAAAGAAACATTAAAGACTGATGTAGAAAAAGTCGGTGGCCCCATTTATTTAGAAAAAAGGATTTAATCTTTTACCCACAGATCAATCTGCTGACTTTCCCTTCAATATCCATTTAAGTGACATTCTCATTCTCCCTTGGCTACCTTTCCCTATTTTAATGTTTTATTTCTCTTCTACCAATGAACCTTAGGTTCCTTCTGTGGCTCCTTCTTCCCCATTTCTCAGTCTCTCATTTATTATTGATGTTGCCAAGAAAACCTCTACTAAACTGGCCTTTTAAGTCACAAAAATGCTGTCATATTTTGGATTTCATAATCTGATTTCAACAAAAGGACCACCCAGAGTGGGAAAGCGAGCATGTGAGCAGCACAAGAGTGTGTTATGAGAAAACTCCCAGAAGGGTACAGATTTTTCCACCAAAGCTATTTTTGGCTTCCCCAACCTGTACAATATACAAAGCTGCTGGTGCTCAGTTCAATTCTGAGGACACCTCAATTTGCAACTCATTCTTAAATTTACAGGCTCGAGCCTTACGTCATTTCTGAGAATTCTCTGTGATTAAGACCTGCTAGAACAGGTCTGTTACACTGCTGGAATTCACCATCTCTTGTAGTGTTACCTACTAAGGAATTCTCTTCCTATGTCTTCATTTTATTTTCTTAGATCTAGCCTCCTTGGCTCACCATAGTCAATGAATCCAAAGAGTATCTGAGCCAACCTTCCAAGCACCAGTGTCTCCTCCCTTCTCGAGCCTATAAATATCTGCACAAAACCTCTGTAATGTAAAGAAGAGGCACAATCTCTGCTAAACCCGGATCCACCTCACATTATAAACAGCCACTGCCAAAGGCTGGGAGCAGAACACACAGTCAGAGCCCTGGGGCTTTTATCCTAATGGCAGGATGCGCCTCCTGCCAGCTCCCAGTTCACCTGCAGTCTCCTCCACTGGAAAAATCTCCCACGCCCAAATAACGAGAGAGGACAGTTTTCAAATAATTTATTAGGAATTTAAAACTGAAATCTGGAAAAAGGGTTACAGGTGTGGAGAGAACAAACATTGGAGTGTAATAACTTACTGGCTTAAAAACACAGCTTTATTATTTTTTTAAAAAAATGCCCACCCTGAAACCGGAGCCCCAGCCTCCAGGCAGTGGCAGCACTGGCCAGAGAGTGAATCGCAGCCCAGCAGCAGCACAGCTGGCCTGGGATGTCTGGAGGGGGCACGGAAGCAGTTCAGCGCGTATACCAAGAGGGAGGAAAGCGCTGGCCGCAGACCCAAATTTGAAGTATATAGAATAAAAATAAACCCAATAAAATGCAGCTCTTCTTTACTTAGGAAATATTTAAAAAAACAGACATACAGACTCTTGTCTCAGTAACAAAAATTATTGCTTTGTGTTTTCAGTACTGATCTGTTAAGTACCCTCTTACCTAAACAGAACTCTCCAAACACATCGCCCACGTCAGGACAAGCTCCAGCACACGGGGAGGGGAGGGATGGGAGAGAAGAGCCCTGTGGGCACGGCGGCCCTCCCGGTCCTGTCCTCAAAGCCCCTCTCCCTTACGGGGGCTCAGTTTGGGGGAAGAGAGGGAATGATTTTTAAAACTTAAGATGAAGCTGTTATTTCCCTGGGAAAAGAGTTTGGCTGCATCTTAATAAAAGGCTTAATCACCCCCCTTAACAAGGTCTTTGGTTCACTGAAATCCAGACCCAAACCTGCCCCGTATGCTCCTGCGGGAGGCTTCCCCGGGCACCTGGTGCCAAGGGAAGCCCCGGCAGGTTGTGGAGAAGGGACCAGACCACCTCCGCACGGGACAACGGACAAATTCCCACAGTCTTCAGAACACAAGAGTAAAGCAAATGGGAAGCTGCGATTCTATAATTCATATAATCCCTGAGAAGCCCTTAACCCGCCCCCAAATCACCACCCTAATGCTTTTCTCCCCGTTAACGCCTCCCCAACCCAGCGCCCTGCCCTTCAGAGAACGACCACCCGCATCTCCCCCCAACCTGCCTGCCTCCCCTTTCCGATACCCTCGCCTCCGGAGGAGGAGGATCCCTTTCCCAGGAAATCTTGACGCAAGCGATAAGTGTTTGGAGAGTGGATTCCTTCCAAAGTAACCCAGACAAACAGTGGCGGCAAAGCCCTTTACCTAAAGCCAAACCAGAGGCTGGCACTGCGGAGCCCAGCGATGGAGTCTGTACATCGAGCGATTGGAAGCAGCTTTGACCCGCTCAGCAAAACAGCCGGTGGCCGGTACGTTTCACCCCCGCCCCCACCCCCCCTTTCGTCTCATCAGAGGTCTTAAAATCTTACAGTAAAAGGTGTACAAAAAAAGAACGGAGTCCTGTCAGGATTCTGCTGGAGAGTATTGCTCACACTGCGGCACCAAGTCCAGGACCTGGAGCTGCTCCTCGGAGCCAGGCTGCACGTGGCAGCCAGGTTCAGCTCGCGATATTTACATATTATACAGGAGGAAAAAGAAAATCCCACGTAAAACTAAACCTAGGAAAACAAAAAAAAAAATCTTTCAGCTGTAAGATAGTGTTTTTCACTTAGCAAAATATACATTTGTTTTGTTCCATAGCGATGTCCAACGTTTTCGGATCCTTGGAGTTTCACACTTTTCAAAGCCTCACATTTACAAAACAGAAACAATTAAAAACAGTTTCTTTAAAAAAAATAGAAATACATCAGTTCCTCTCATCCTCTGCTCTCTCTGCGTCTCGTTCTTTCCTTCAGAACTGCATTCTTGTTACATACCGTGCTTTAAAAACACTGACGACAACAACAACAGAGTTGAAAATATTCAAAACAGTTTCAAAGCCAAATAAAAATACTCCTCAATAAAAACTACCTAACACAATCACAAAGCCAATTCATAAAATATGTCTACTAGCTCAGGAAAGAGCAAACAACAAAAAGAAGGGGGAGCCCCAAAAAAGATAAAAAAATAAAATAAAAAAATAAAACTAACAGCTAATAAAATAAATAAAAGAAGAACCGGTGGGCTGGGGGCAGGGGAGGGGGAAGCGTAAACCGTCGGTGGTTAGTAAGAAAGCGAGATGATCTCCTCGGGTTCAGTCCAGTGTGGTCTGCTCAAAGGGAGAGATCAGGGCAGGGCGGCAGGAGCCTGGCAGCCGGCCGGCAGTGTGCAGTTTGACTCGAGAAAAAGGTAACCGTGGCTCATCCCCCGAGGCTCACCAGATCCTCCAGCCGCTGTCCTCGGTTAGGTCACTGGGGAATCTGCGGGACACAGCAGGGGGAGGAAGGGACAGGATCTAGAACAACCAACGGCTTTCCTCTCGGGGCTTTCTCCCAGGGTTACCCGGCAGGAATAACTCAGCAGCCAGACCTGCCCCGACACGGGCTTGCCCCGCACCTCGCTGGCACGGCAACGGGGCCCAGCAGAGCTGCTTCCCTCTGTAACAGCACCAACAAGGCTCCACACGCCGTGCAGCCGGCCTGCCCCGACCTGCGGAGCTCCTGGCTGCGGGGAGGCTGCAGCCAGGCAGGGTCCAGCCACAGCTCCAGCACCCAGCTCAGTGCCCAGCCAGGCTCCGGGGGCCTTGTCCGGACACCCTTCCCTGCCAGCTGTTCCCTCCTTTAAAAAAAATAACTTTTTTTTTTTTTTTTAACTTTTTAAGCCAACAAACTTCAGCCGTGTTCACAGACCAGACGCCATCCACCAGCTCCCTCCCAGGCCCAGCTGAGGACCAGAATCAGAACTGATCACACCCAGATTGCCCTCTGCCCTTCTCCCAGACAGGAGAGGAAAGCCCTGCCCTGCAGAGACGCGGTCTCAGCAGCAGTGAGAACAACCAGCCACATGGGCAGGCTCCCCCTGCCAGCCAGGTGAGCCAGGCTTGTCTCAGGATCACCACGGGGTCATGATTCTGGCCAAGCCTGCAGACCTCTCCTCCTCCTGTCAGTGCTCTCATCTCCCCCCCTCTGTGCCCAGACACCAAGCGATCCCTCCACAATGCTCCCAGCCCGAGGAGCAGGAAACCAACCCCTGTGTGCAATAGAGCCCTGGGCTGGCCACAGGACTCCCTGCGTGGGCTGGGTCAGGCCAGCGAGCCTCCCCGCAGCCTCCACAGCCCCTGCTGGGAGCCCAAGCTCAGAATTTCACACTTCTCTAACTACCCGGGCCTGTTTGAAGCTCTCTTACCTCCTGCCTCCTTGGTCCCCAGCTTCAGTGATACCCATTGGTAAAAGCTGTTGCAATCAAGGGACCCTGCGAGGAAAGAGTTAAAACCCCCTGTTAAGCAAACAAAAGAGAAGTGAAGAAAATTACTACCAAAACATATTCAGTCACGGTTCAGATGCTGGGAGAGCAGTTCCAGTTGCAGGTGCCAGGACTAAAGGAGCCCAGCAACCCGCAGGACACTGCGTCAGGGCCAAGATGAGCTTTGGGAACATCTGGGCCAGGTAGGGGGAAGGTCTGGAGATCAGGACCTTGAGTTGTGGCTGGGAGAGAGCCAGCGGAGCCCAGGGAAGCAGCAGGCTCCCAGCGGTGGCATTTCCCGACCAGAAAGTTGTCTGCCCCCCCCCCTGCTCACCTCCATCACCGCGTGGAGATGCAGCCCCCTCCCATGCCCCTGCCACCACCCTCCCCCTGCGCAGAGCCCACCAGGGAACACTCACCCCTAGGCTGTGGCCGAAGCCGGTGCTCGGGGCCGGGCTGGCAGCGCTGATGTAGCTGCTGACCCCTGAGTCCTGGTTGGCGGCTCCGTAAAGCTCCGCCATCGGCCCGGGGCTGGTGGTGCCCAGAAATCCGCCGGTGCGACTGGGGGTGGAACCTGGGAGAGGTGGCAAAACTGGAGTGAAGATCCCCAAAACGTAGGCCCGTCCTGCCCCACGCCCCGGGGAGGAAGGTGGCACTTACCTGTCCCTCGCACCACGGCCGCCGCCGCCGCTGCTGCCGCCATTGGTCCATACGCAGTGAGGGGGATTGCTGCAAAGGAAGGCACGGGCACCTCAGGGACCTCGTGGCTCCACGGGGAATTCCTCAACGGGGCCCTTCCTGTCCCCGCTGCGAAATTCCAGGGCCATGCAGGCACATCGGCCTCATGCAGCGCGCAGGATGGCCACGGAGGAGAGCAGGGGAGTGCCCAGCCCTGCCTCTGCTGCTACCCTTGCACGGGGGGACACGAGCCATGCTCTGCTAACCCCACATCCCGGAGCATCTGAGGGATGTGGAACAGCTGAACCAGACAGATAAATCCCAGGGTATTATAGGTACAAATTTTGGCTATAAACGTGGAGAAATCCAGCAGCTCGGAGCGATCCTCAGTGATGTGAGGCTCAGCCCCTCCCCTCTGTTTCGACACTCTTATTTTAACAGCCTCTTTCTACCTATTTCTCTGCTCAAGGCACGCCATCCTCCCCGCTTTCACACCTGAACTGCTCAGCCCCTCGCTGCTCGTTGCAGACGAGCAGGAAACATATACCGAGGGAGCAGGAACTAAAAATGGCTTAATTAAAACAGTAAGTCTTAATTTATACGTAGCAGTTTTAATTCCCAACTCGACTGCCATAGGCAACCAGCCCTCGGGGCAGGAGGCATGCAGCCAGCGTGTTTCTCTTTGCCCTTAAAATGACTGGGTCAGCATTTCATGCTTGAATGTGAAATTCGCCGTGATTCTGTTTAGAGCACCATAAAAAGAGGTCAGAACAAATCAATCACGTTAAGGCTGAAATCCAGACTAGCTTATAAGGGAATATTTAGTAGCAGGCACCAGCCTGTTTCAGGCAAACGTCACGCAGGGCTTAGATCTGGGTTTGCCTCTCGCTGCAGGCCCCGGGCCAAGGCGAGCATGCTGCAGCTCCGCATCGCCCCCAAAGACACCGCTCTGGGGAGGAAACGCTGCTGGCAGCCGCCCGCCCGCCCCACCGCTGCTTCAAGGCCCTAAAACAGATGAATGAATGTGCTTTTAATGAGAACAAGGGCCAGGCCTTTTCAAGGACTCCAATTCTTTTTTTTTCCAGGAAAATCCCTTCTGGCTTTTGCAGGCTGTGTATGGAGAGACCAGGTTGGTGCAGCGACCACAAGGCACCTGTGCGTTCTCCCTCGGCTCGCTGGAGCAATCAGCCCCACTTGTGCCATCCCCTCAGCTCAGCTCCCCGTGCCAAGCCCATTTGCAGGCGCTCAGCCACTCGAGGCACGAGGGCCCTTGAGCTGCGGGGCCTTTGTAGGATCCGAGGGGGCCCCGCGCTGCGCGGGACCGGCTCCAGCCTACACATGGGAACCTCGCGGCCTCGCCAAGAGGCTGCGCAGCGACTGCTTAGCAGTAGGTAAGCGGAACGGGGAGGGAAGAACGCCACGATCCCCAGCTGGTGCTTCAGCCAGACACTCAGGACTGGAAGCTGGCGTGGCACCCAGCCAGGCAAAGCAGCATTGAGAACTTGCTGTTGTGCAGGGCCCTGCTGCACCCCAGCTGCCAGCGGGCCCCCGGCCATTCACCTCCATGAGGAGGGGCACGGTGCAGCCCGGGGCGGACCTCGGAGGGAAAAGTACTTTTTTTTGTCAGGTCCTCTACAAATTTTATAGGTTTTGCTGGGAAAATGGCACGTGCAAATACACACCGAACCCAAATCTCCTTTGTTTGGCAACCAAAAGGCTTAGAGATGGGGTCAGATGCTTATGCAGTTGCATCCGTGATGTCAGGGAAGGATATTGTTAAGAGGGAGCTGGGATTTCATCTCCTCCTACCTCCCTCAGGGCAATTTGCTCATTGCTGGCTGCCAACCTCAGCATCCCGGAGAGCGGAGACTCCCTGAGGACCGACAGGGCTCTGTGCCACAAAACCCCCTTTCAGCCCTGTTCGTACCAATAATTTCGGGGGAGCTTCTCAGGAAGCTTTTCCACACCCCCACTGCAGAGATTCGCACCCTGAGACAGGTGGGGGCAAGGAAGCGCTGGAGAGGAGGCACACCATGGACATGAGATGGCACACGGGGAGCGGGGTGCTACACAAAGCTGCTCTTCTACAACAGATACCACGGACACGACAGAGCTGGGGGAAGCATGGCCGTGGGAGGGAGAGTGGACAGAAGGAGCACCGCCTAGAGAAGGCACCGCACATGGTGCAGGGGCTGAGGATCCAGAGGGTGTTTACACTCTGAGCCAGGACTAGCCCTGGAGCACAGCCCTCTGGCCTCGTTTCATCCCACAGGGACTGAGGGACCCTACACCTCCTGCTCAGGGATGTGGGAGCGCCCCACGCCCTCTCCCTCCTCCCAGCTCTCCAGAACTTGTCCCTGCAGCAGCTCAGGTTCAGGTCACTCGTGGACCTTTGAGAAGTCACCCTGCTCTCTGGAGTTTTCCGTACCTGACTTAGACCCAGCCCAGGGCGAGGAGCTAAAAAAGAGGCCAGCAGCAGGAAATGCCATTTCGGAATTACAATGCCTTCACCTGGTGTGACCTGCACTGCCCTTCTCAGAGGCAGCTCACAGGGCCCTGCTTCCCTCTCCACCCTGCCAGCCCCAGCTGTGGATGGAGCTCGCACAGAGGGAACAAGGAGCTCTCCCAGCCTAACTGCAGCAGGCTGTGGAGCAGCAACACCACTGGAACAGCCCAAAGCCCCCTTTGCCCAGCTTGTGAGTTTAGGAAATGAGCGGGACTGACCTGTGAGCTCAGGGAGGACGGGGGCACTCGGGAGAGGGGTCCGCTCTACACGGAACTCTAAAAACGAAATGCAAGACAGCTTAGGAACCCATCAACCGCCCCCAGGGACACCCCGCAGACAGGCAGCAGCCAGGGCTGCTGTGGGAGCAGGCTGCGACCGGGCCAGTGACTTCTTTAAACTAATTTCTAACTGGTGCTGAAAGGTGCTGGGCTCCTGCCCTGGAGACTGAAAGAATCCATTTGTCCTTAGTGTAAATCTGGAAGGGAGGGCAAGCGCAAGCTTCACCTGCAGCCCAGCCCAGGTTTTACAGCGAGGCACTCGAAGCCACGGGGACTGAGAGCCATGAGCTGCGTTCGCAGGGAGCTTCCAGGCAGCCAAGAGGCAACAGCAGCTTTCAGCCACAGCCAGCCCGGGCTTGCCGGGGGGAAGAGCCGACTGCCCACTGCCAGCCCCTGCCAGCAAGGCTTCGTGTAACAACCCTGAGACTGAGGGGGAAGGTAAGGAGGGGATGCTCGGAGTTGCCACTTCTCTAGAAAACAGCAAGGAGGGCTTTTTTCTCTGCATGTGCTCAGCCTCCATCCCTGGGTTGACAGGGAAGGGGAAGGAGAAGAGGCCCCGGGCAGCTCTGGCAGCTGCGGCACAGCAGGCTCCAGCCATTGATGGCAGCGGCCGTGTCCTGGGCACACGGCGGGGCTGGGAGCTTCAAACCCCTCAGACAGGAGGGACGGGCAGCCCACAGCACAGCAGGAGCTGCGAGTGGTCCAGGCAGGGCTCACAAGGCAACCACAGCACACAGGTGCCTGTGTTTTGGGTGCCGAGGGGTTCCCCAGCCCATGGCAAGCTGCAATTCAAACTCCCCTGCTACTTTCAGAGCGGTGGCAACTCTGGTGAAGAGAGACAGACACACACACAAAGGCAGCGAGACAGGCAGAGCTGCGGGGGCCCTCCTGGGTAACAGCAGCAGCCCTACGGAGGAGGCTAACATAAAGGGCAGCAGAGCAGCCTGGGGCTTTTCCTGTCACCGGGGTGTGAGGATAATCCTAATGAAGGACAGGCTGCTCCCACCTATTCCAGGGCTTCTCCCCTCCCCCTTCCACATCCGTCTCCAATTTAAAGAAAGACCAAAAAGGGGGGGGGAAAAGGGGAAAAGGGGCAGAGCCTGGGTCACGGATCACGCCAAGGACTCCCATCACCTGAAGGCAGGCAGAGAAAAGGAGCGGGGAGCACTCACCAGGGAACTGGTAAGTGTAGCCGGGCGCGATGCCAGTGTAACTTCGACTCGCGTAGGTGGCAGCCTGGAAGCCTGGATAACCTGGGGAACAGAACAGGGCGCTGTTACTGCAGCCTCACCGTGTCCCTCTCCTTGGTGCCCGGCTGCTCACGAGCAGCGTGACCACTGCCCTCAGAAAGAACACACACACACAGCACAAAACCCAGAGAATCGCTGAGGCAGGGAACGGGATGCATGTGAGCTGGCGCTTTAACAGCCCCATTGACTTTTTCCCTCGCTCCCAACATGTAGGGACACGAAGGTTTCCTTCTCGGCAGCTCACAGCTCTGCAGAAAGCCTTAGTCTGATGCGTCAGCTGGACTTAGGGACAGATCGGGGAGGTGGTGGCATCTGAAAGGCTGCAAGCTCTGAGTCACTTTTGCACCAGAGATGCTGGCAAATGCAGGCAGAGCACTTCTTCCCGGAGCCGGGCAGGAGGACAGTGCCTGCCACTCCCGGGAAGCCGTCCACCTCTACAGCACAGGCCTGTGAGAACGCCGGACGTTGACTCAGAGACGAATATTTGATTTGAGATCTCCCAAGAAATGAATACGTGGATTCTGCAATGACTCAGCTCGAGCCTCGCTACTTTAAAATTCAGATGGCTTAGAAAAGGCAGAAGCCCAAACCGCAGGCTGAAGATTTGTTTTCCTTCAATAAGTCCAGTGAAAACACTGGGGGGAAAAAATGCCCTTTTGGGGGTTTTGTTCAGTGACTGCCTGTTATCAGCAGGCTTAGCAAGGAAAGCCAGGCTGAGTACAGCCTGTCCAGCAGCACCAGCGATGATCCTGAGCAAACAGAGTGCTCCTGGTTCGGCTCGAGGCTGGCCAGAGCAGGGGGAGGGAGGAGGGCTGGGAACAGAGACCATGCTGGAAGGTTCGTGCTCCATTCAGATCCAGGCACGAGGCTTTTGTAGACCTGGAAGTGGAGGCTGCTAAAATCTTGCATCTGAGTGCATCCACCTCAGAATCACTGAGGGACACGAAACCCAGCTGGCTGTCACTGATGGCCCTTTATAACAGTCCCACAATAGGGGTATGGTTTTCCTTGCACTAGCAGATACTTGCTGTCCGTGGGAGGGAGGGAATGAAGTGAGACAAAGCTTAACTAAAATGTTAAGGGCATTTTCATAGTCTTCAAGCAACAGTAAGAACCTTTATAAGGGTGACTATTTCAAGTGGAAACTTTGGGGCTCTTCTAGGAACTAATCCATCAGAAAGCCTGTAGAAGCACAGGGGGAAAATGCTTGGGCATGGATTATTCCGCATTTGGCTCAGCTCTGAGCTGTGCCCTGTTCCACAAGAGCCATTAGGAGTTACTGGTTATACGCTACCATGCGCTGAGCTGCAGAGGAACAGAGCTTCCCAGCACTTGGCTCCCTCCGGGCGGCTCCTCCGGCTGTCACAGGACAGCAGCGACAAGTTTGCAGTTTTTCCAGGTGCCACCAGAGGGCAAGTTGTGATCGCAAACAGGTCCCGGCACTCCCCGGCTGTCCCCAGCCCTGCACCAGGGAGAGCTGCCCTTGGCCGCCCTGCCCGCTGCTGGCTCCTGGCAAGAAAACCTCGGAGCTGCTGCTGGGCACGACTGGGATGAGATTTGTCCGGGGCTTACCCAGCATGCCGATCCCGAGCATGAAGGCATCCATCCCGTAAGGCATGACTCGGGACCGCCCTCGCGCTGAGCCCGTCGGGGACATCACCTCCTTCGGCTGGGCTTTTTTGCACTCCACCTGCAAGGAAGACAAGGTCAGACCCGGCTGTGGCCAGCACAGAGCACACAGCCCCTGGGCTGGGGGCCAGGCAGGTTGCCCACCAGGATGGCTGTCCCCAGCCGCCACCTCCAGTCCCACCTGCCCGTCCCGCTGTCCTTCCCCTGTCCTGCACGCTGCCAGCCTCCCCTCACTCTGCAGACACAATGGGCACGGAGGAGCTCAAACACTGCTCTTATCCAGCCCTTCATGTTCCACCTGGCCCTGCAATGGGGCCTCAAAGCCTCATTTTCCTCCTTTCTGAATAAAGGTAGTGCTCTGTCCCCTCCCAGGCCACCGTGAGGTTTCACTGTAACTTCAAAACCTGCAGCACTGCACAGATCCAGGCACAGTTCACTCTTCCTGAAATGCCAGCATCGTGCTGGTTCACCTGTGCCACTGTGCCCCTGTTCCACTGCCCTGCTCTCCATCAGGTACCTCCCTGCCCAGCCACTCACCATTTTGTTGTTGATCTCGTGGAAGTGGATTTCACAGACTTTTTCCACAATGTCTTCACTTTCAAACGTGACAAAGCCAAACCCTGAAGAAAAAGCAAAACCCCTTGGTCAGGCGAGAGCTCTGCAGAGTTCGCACCCATCCCCTGCATTCTCTTATTGGCAGGAGAAGAGAAGGAGCCACAAGCTTCAGGGACAGTGCAATCAGCCTTTGGAAATGGCTGTGCCCCATCTTCCCTCTCCAGCAACTGCTGCCTTTGTGCAGAAGACAAGACCATCCCTTACGGACTGCCCTTTCCTTCTCTTTCTGTGCATCCCACCCCCTGCTCTCGACCCAACTGTTCTCAAAACCAAGTGTTTTTGTTTTGCTTTGTTTTTTAATTTTGCTATTTGCAAGGCAAAGCACACGCCTGATAACTCTGGGGAGGATCCCAGCAGACGCTCACACAAAAGGAGCTGGTAGAGCAACGACCAGCTGCTTGCCAGGACATCCCCATCCGTGCTGGAGGCAGCACACCCGCAGTAACACCCTGCTCATTTCCTCTTCGGCCACTGCTCATAAAACCTTGCATAAGCGGGCAAGTATCAGCGACATGGTTACAGGGAAAGAGAGGGAGCTGCACAGATAACGCATAGGCAAAGCGATCCGCAAAGCTTCACCAAAGTTTAGTCCTGGGGGTAAGACACAGCACGGCCCTGGCCCATGCTATCACCTCCTTTCCCCCACCAAACCCTCTGCTGACAGTTTTGGCAAACACCAGCAAGGGTGGGCAGACTAAATTCAGCTGACTAAGCTGTTTCTGGAGAACTGAGGCAGGTTGAAGGATCTCTCTAGGCTAGCATCACAGCCACGCAGGGATTAAGCAGAGCTTTCTGCTTTCCAGAACAGCCGGTTTCATGCTGCTTTACAATAACTTTCAAGGACGGGGATCCACTTTTTCTCTGTACTACAAAAGAATCTCTCCACAAACCCTTCCCGTCTGCCCGTGCCTAGGTAGTTACACACCATTCCTCTCAACACCCATGTGTGGAGGGGCTCAGGAACTCAAGAGCGAAACCCTGATGCCAAAACCTGTCCTGAGACCTCTGCCAGGCCCACGCTGCTGACAGGGCAGCAGGCAGCTCCCCCTGCTCCCTCCTTAAATACCCAACAACTCTCATTAACTAGTGACTGAAGGGTACCCATGGAGGAACAGGGGTTGGAGCATTTCTTCCCTTTTAAGATGAAGCTGGAACACCATCCCAAGGCATGCAAACAGAACAGATGTAATGTTGTGTTTTTTTTTGAAAAAAAGCAAAAAGAACCGAAGGGCACGTAGTGCAGCATGAACAGAAGGAAGTGTCCCCTTCCTGATGTGGGGGCAGAGGTGCTCAGAGGGGCTTCAGACAGCTCACAGGGCTGCTTCTGGCCCCGACTTGGAAGATGCTGAAGCCAGGTTCGTAGGTTAAGCTGTTTCCAATCAATCTGAGTCGGTGCAGTACCGGTGTCAAGCCGTGCCAGGAACTGAGGCAGGCAGGCTGCAGACACATGCGGGGAGCGGGAGGCAAGGACACCCATGGGTGGGCTGGGTCTGGAGCTCACACACATTACAGCCTTGTTCCCATCCTGTAACCAGACCCCAGCAGGGCTCGTGTAAGAAAAAGGTGACCTGGGAGCACAAGCGGGCTCCCAGCCGAGGAAGGGGTGAGAGGCAGGCACTCCTCAGCCTCTCTGTCAGTGCTCCCGGGGCTCGGGTTACACAGGACAAGGTAAGACACACACTGCGGGCTGGAGCCACCGAGGTACGCGGGGAGGGGAGGGGGCCGCCTCCTCTCACATATCTGCAACTCAGCGAGTTTACAGCACAGGAAACGCACTGGACAAAAGCTCTCTGTGCTGCAAGGGACGCTGGTAAAGGATGCAGATGCAGAAGGATGGGGCGACTGGAGGCAAGATAAAGAGCAGCTGCGACCCGCGTGCCCTGCTGCTGGGATACCAGCGCCTCCCTGCTCAGGGCAGGAGGGGGACCCTCCCTGCTCCCTGCTCCTACAGCCAGGAGACCGCTCTCACCTCGGTGTCGGTTGGTTGTCTTGTCAAACATCAGCATCGCATCGTCCACCTGCAAAGAGAAGGGCTCCCATCAGGTTACTGCAAGCATCGCCGACATATTTGCGCAAACGTGGCCTCCCCAAACCAGCAAGGATCATGACCTCCCATCCCCAAGAAGAAAACAGGGTACACGCACCAGGCTCATCCCCACAGCGTGCTCCTTGCCCAAACCGAAGCCCCCCAGCCCGGGGCAGGTGCTGCCGGGCTGAGCCCCTTGCCCGGCCCCAGTCCCTGCCGGCTCCCCCCTCCCCACGCTGCAGCCAGCGACCCCAATTGTTTGCCTGCGGCTCCAGCCGGGGGGCAAAGAGCAGGGAAGGCATTGTTCCCAAATCCCAGCCTCAAAGGAGAGGAGAATTAAAGGGGGGGAGAGAAGCAAAGCTGGAGAGGGGAGAGGAATAAGGGGCCTCCCAGCGACGGGGGGAAGCGGAGGCCTCAGACAACAGAGCCCGCCTGGGAAAGCTGGGAAGCGGCCCCCGCCCCCACCCCGGAGGAGCCTTTCCTCTAAGTGAGGTTTCCCACTGCTGGAGGCTGTAATTAGAGCAAATTTACTGCAAGGCCTGAGCGAGGGCTGCCTCCCCGGGGGGAGGGGCGGCCGGCTCCCATCCCCCAGCCGGCCGGGGGCTGCTCGCCTCCATGGTGAGGCCAGCGCATCGCCCAGCACATCCCATCGCCCAGCACATCCCATCGCCCAGCACATCGCCCAGTGCATCGCCCAGTGCATCCCATTGCCCAGCACATCCCATCACCCGGTGCATCCTCATCGCCTGGTGCCACTTCCCCCCCCCACCTTCCCACTGGGCGTTTCCTTGCAGAGACACATCTGCACCGCGCCGCAGGTCAGGCGGAGCAGGGTTAAAAAATACACTTCAATCCCCTCCGTGTAAGCCCCAGTGTAAACCTGTCCCACTGACCCATCCCTCCTCTCTAATACCGCTGCCTTAATCCGATTATGAAACTGGACGTGCAAGTGCTCGGGGGAGGCGGCGGCAGTCTTCGGCCAGCAGCTGCCCGGCGTTGCTGCCATGTGCGAGGCGCCTGCTCCCCGAGCAGCAAGTACCCAAACTCCACGGCAGGGAGGGGACAGCTCGCCAGCATGGGCACTGCTCTTAACTTCAGCTCCCCACAGACAAAACAGGGCACCCGGCTCCACCTCGGTGCCCTGAGCATGGAAGGAGCCATTGCTAACGTTTCCAGTGCCACCGTGAGCAGAGAGACGTCATCGCCGATGCCCTTGGGGTTGTCCGACACGTCTGCCCTGCAGGAGCGAGGTGACAACAGACAACCTGGCTCCCACTCATCTTGCGCTTGTCCTGTCCTGGCTCTGCCTCCCTCTGCAAAGTCACCACCTGCAAAACGTGAGCAACCCAGCCGGAGCCATGGGACACGTACAACTTCGCACAGATCTGAAGCGATGCCTCAGCAGCTTCCCAAGGTGCAGCCGCGGAGCTGGGGGCTGAAAACACCTCCCTGTGCTGCTGTTCCCCACCGCCCCTCGCTCCTGTCCCTGCACCACTTCCCTTCATGCCTGTGATGGCGGGGAACCTGATGTGGCTTAAATTTTTACTGGCTGTTTTTATGCGTTTTTTAACCCAGCTCACAGAAAGGTTGGGCACACGGCTGACCTCCTGCATCCGATCAGCCCCAGCAGCCTCCACAGGAGCAGCTGCACGTGGCAGAGCCCCACATGTATGAGTGCAAACCCAGCTCAGGGCACCAGCCTGGGCAGCGGCCGCTGCGCTCCCACAGCGCTCCAGCACTTGGAGTGGGGAGAAGGGTAACAGCTTCATCCCAAACCAAGCTTTGCACGCTGAGAGGAGAGTCGCAGCCTGCCTCAGCCTGGTCCTTTTATCAAGTTTCTGCCAGTGCTTTGAAATCAGGTGTCTGCTCAGCACCCTGAAACGTACTGGTGTTGTGAGAACCTATTTATGATATATAACATGTGCCTTGTTGGAAGCTGGCTCCTGTCATGAGCTAAACTGAAATGGACACATTTATATGGACATGTAGTGTATATATATGTAAATATGAATACTATGTATGTGAAGTAGTCTTACCCCACCCAACTCTGGGGCCCAAACTTTACGCAGAGCTACAACCACTGCATTTTATTGCCAAAAAAGCCTACGTACGACCACCCCTTCTCATCCTGCCCAAGGCAACAGGTGAGATGCGTTTGGTGGTCTCAGCCCGGCATGGCTCCGCTCAGCTCCCTGAGGCAAAGCCGAGCCCAGCGGCCTCCCCTTGGCCCCATGGAGGCCGCTCATGCCTCGTAGCCCTCCGGGTCAGAGAGGAGGCCGAGCCCCAGCACCTCCGCTTGGGAGCCGAGGACAAAGAGAGCCGGTGCTGGCCGGGAGGGGAAGGCGGTGCTGAGGGGGCAAGCGCCCCGGTGGGCAACCATTGTGGCGGCAAGGCCGCCGGGAGACCCCCGCCGCGACGGGACCGTCGCGGCGGGGGTCTCCCGGCGGCCTCGCTGCCACAATGGCCGCCTGCCGGGGGCCGCGGTGGGCCCCAACAAAGGCGGCCGCCAACGGGAGCCGTCTCCGCGGCAACGCGGCCGCCATTGGCAGCTGCCGCCCGGATTAGAGCGAGCGGCGGGGCCCGCACAAAGCCGCCCCGCGGCGCCCGCTCTCCTCAGCCTGGGGGGGCTCAGGGCGGAGGAGGGAGAGAGGGTCCGGCGGGTCTCTCCCGATGGAAGAAGGTGAAAAAGCACCGGGGCTTCACCTCCCTCCTGCACCGACCCAGACGCCGCCATCTCGCCTCAGCCCCTGACCATGGGGGGCCTGAGCGGGGTGTTTAGCGGGATGCGGGCGGAGGGGTGGTGAGGATGAAGGGCGGATGAAGGACTCTTTGTGGTTCACACAGATCCCGGCCCCTGAAGGGTGGCAGAGACACCTTGGCTAAAAGCAGCCAGAAACACAGGTGGGAGAAGCGCACGGCAAACAGCACGCAGGCTCAGCAGCACCCCGAAGTTCATTTTAACAGGGTGTGGAAGTAATCTGTGATCAAAACTGGACGTGAACAAAGGCTTTCTCGCTGGGTGAATTGTCTTTCTCCCGCTCTCCCCCTCCCCTTAAATAAATATTTGTTTCAATTCTTTAAACACAGTCAAAGAAGCAGATCGCTTTACTGGAGGACTGTTTAGCTTAGTGGTCAAGGCTCTCTCCCGGGGAACTATTTAGCTTGCTGGTCCAGGCAGCAGTTATCCAGCACTGAGGTTACAAGTTCAAGGTTTGTTAATTCGGAGAGATGCTGCCTCTCCCCGTGCTTGGCCACGTGGGTCAGAACCGTCAAGAAGAGAGGGGTGACAGAAGCAGTACCCCTTGCTCTTTCGATGTGTCCTTCCCAAGGAACCCTACCATAAAGGATCACTTTCTGACAGGTTTCTGGCAGTGAGGGAGTTGGTACCACGTCCCTGAGCCTTAAACCCAAGGTAACATCACCTCTGCATTCTGCCTCCAGAGGCTCTCTCTAGCTTTGGAAGCCAAATGGGAGTGGAAGATAAAAAGGCTTTGGCTCAGTGGAAGTAACACATCCATGAAGTGGGGGAAAAAACTCTCCCTGAGGAGGAACTCCTCATCCTTCATGGAGCTGCCCCTGCTGCAGGTGGGCCACAAGCAGCACCCTCCTGAGAGGCCCTTCTGGAACCACCACATGATATTAGCAAGGTTGGGGTGACAGGGAGGAAAAGTGACAGGTTCACAAAGAGACTCTCCACCAAAGCACCCCTCAGCCCAGCCAAAACATTCAGGTGCCTCCCAAACAGGAGACATTTTATACCAAAACAGAATGCAGCACGATCCACCTGGGCTCAGCCAAAAAGCCTGACTTTTTTCAGTAGCTTAGTCCCACCCTACCACCTTTCAGTCTTCCTGGGACAGCCGTGGGTCTCTCTACAAAATAGAAGCCAATGGCAGCCTCTTGCAGATTTTAAATAAATAAATAAAAATTTCCAACACAAGTTTGATGAGAAACATTGGATGCACTTGCACACAGGCAGATCTTGGAGAAAGTTGTAAATATTCAGGCAAAGGCTTTGCAGAGACAGGTGTCTTCCACCTGAACAGCAGCTAAAGACTGCTTGGCTGGTCCTGGAAGGAACCATGGCAACATATTTGTAGGGGAAAAAAAAACAAAACACCAGGGTGGTGAGACAGCTTCAGCATGGGAAACATAAACCAAATGATCTAGAAAGGGAGGATGGCCTCCCTTTGGCCATCCCGTCAAACGGAGGGCATTAGCCACCCCGAGAGGATCTCCTGGCTGCTCAGACAGGGCAGGCTAATTTTTGGGAGGAGAAAGCACCGACCCAGAGCCCATGGAGCAGGCATGCTGTGCCCACACGGCACCAGGTTTCTGAGCCTCCTTACCCCATTCTGCAGAAAACAAGACTAAACGGAGAGACCGAGCCCGCTCCGTGCCACAGGTGAGTGGGTCAGCCTGCCCAGGTGTTCCTGCCTGCTCTCACGCTGCACCGTGGGCACCTGGCAAATATCAGATGAACCACTGAAGATCTGAATGACCATTAATGCTAGCCCATTTTTGGCTATCTGCCTACCAGATGCGGAGCACAGAGCACCCTTTGTTCCAGAGGCTTTGTTACCACCAGCCGAACTGCCTACTGCCACAAGAGAGGTGATCAGATTCCCCTTCTCCTCCCCTCCCCATCTGTTCCTCGCAACCGTGTTACGTGTGAGAATTTGCATAAGTTGCCCTCTGATCAGCGGAAGAAAATCCAAAATCCAGTTTGGAAATCCACTGCAGGTTGACAAGTCGCTTTGATCCCCGAAATTTCCAGAGAACAGCAGATTAAAGATTAATTAATTAACATTCTCCCAAAGCAAAGTGAGGGAAATCGTGCCTAGCCATAGCGCAGGAACAAGTATTCCCTTAAAGAAACTCCCTATCAGTATCTAAAGATTCTCCAATTAGTCAGCAGGGAAAACTCATTTAATATACCCGAGTCAACCACACCATTTTTCTGGCAGGTGTACATGAATATGCATTTGTGAC